TCGAGTCTTGTCTTGAAAACGAGACGAGACCATGCGAGACTCTCGAAAACGAGACTCTCGCAGGCACCACTAGAGAACTCAACGAGCTTTTGCGGGTGGGAAATTTTCAAATGAACACCCGGTATGCAACGATTCGATATACAGGAGTATTCAAAAAGGATGGCATTTGGCAACATTGCTAGCTACGGGGAATAGCCTTTATTTCACTGTGGGTGGTGGAGACGGAGACCAGCGGAGACGGAGACGGAGACGGAGTCTAAAAGACGTGCGATAGGCGCCTAGGCTCTTGCCATGTTTCTATTCAAATGCCCTATATGTAACGATTCGATGAACGACCTGTATTAACAAAATGCATACAGAACAGTATAATTTATCGAAAAAGTGCATTTCGAGTGCTACATAGTTTTTATTTCAGCGAAAATTGTCCTAATGGAAATCCTATCATGGCGGAATTCCCCATTTCATCTCGTGTCCAGCACGCACTCCACACATTGTGAAAATCAATTTTCCGATACACGGCATGCACTTTGAAAATGAAGCGGTATGAAGCAATAAAGAAAATTCCATTCCATTTTGTTCATTTGTTCAATTAATTGGGAGTGGGCTTTGATCCTATTTTGTAAATTTCGAACAGGTGGAAATATCGATGGCTGATTTCATGATATTTCGTTTTCCAACCTCAGCATGATGTACACTAGTTGTTTCAGAATCCGTATTATAGGCATATATATATGATATATGAGCAAAGCTTTGCACAAATCGATCATGAGCTGATGATATATCGCTTGAAACATTGATTCACAAAATGAAATTATATAGGTAGGTTGAATGCAAACATATGCAATGATTCCTCTCACTCTTGATATGATATATTATTATTTTTTTATTGTTCTTGAAAGTTGTAACTCATCAGCATTAGCACCTTGATGGTCGCCGAAACAATCTCCAGAAACCCTCGAAGGGGTTGTGCAATTAAGGTGACAGGGATAGGAGATCTACAAATGGAATTAATTACACTGTGACATTAGGGCTGGACCAGCCCGGCTGGTTGATGCCTGAAGATAATATACATGTACATACAGACATACACAGACCAAATAGTTAATCCCCAAATTCAAGCGCAAGCATAGGAATCGAACAAGTGACAGAAAAGCCTGAAAAGTATAATTATGTCTTCAATATTATGTTTCCACCACAAACCTGGAAATCCCCAGTATTCAAGGATTTCCTCTAATGAGAAGTTAGACTTTCTTAATCTAGGTAAATAATAAAGAACTGTCAATAGTGTCAATGATGTGCAATATAACCAATTAAAAATGAAACATTCATTATTTACTCAAACGTTAACCAAAATTATTCAAGACAGCGTAATTCACTACTGCTGGAAGCAATTTTTTAAAATTAGAAAAATGTTTTGAAATTGTTTAATTATTATCAATTCTGAAAATGTCACAAATCATACATCAGCTGTCATATGCTGATCAGAAATGCTGAGCATCAACTGAGAGAATATGTCGATTGATGCGATTAAATATAAATTTTGTACTTCAGTTCAACGGTATATGGCATCTGCGATGTTCATAAGGTTCAAATAAATAAATACATACATACATACATACATACATACATTTTAATGAACGCTGTATTTCTTTCGCCTGGAATTTCAATACAATGTTTATTTTCTCAAAGCCAAGATTAGTTTGACAACTGAATTCTTAGGCTACTTGATAATAATATATCACCATTTTAGTAATATTCTGAATGATATGCTAAATGGCATTGCTCCTTTGGTGGAAATGAAATTTGAATAACTAAAAGGTGCCTAAAGACAATGTAGTATAATTGCTACCTACCTAGAGTTCTGGCCATTTTTAGTGCACTTGTCTGGTATACAGGTGAGAATACTATATATTATTTAGCTCACTTCTCATCCTTTGGTTTGGAAGGAGGTTGTCGGTTATGTGTTGCACTTTTCGAGAACTCATCGCTTATAAATTCGAAGTTGGCTGTTACAAACATCGTTTTTTAAATTCTAACGAGCCAAAAAATGTTTGCGTATGCTTTCAGTTAATATCTATACACACTCAGATACCTAAGTATCGAATACAACTGTGTCACTTCTGCTATCTGATTCACATTCTTCTACGGTAACATTTATATAACATCCCTGACTAATATCTCATGAAAAATTCGAATATCATACCATACAGGATGGTTCAAGTATAGTGCTACTATGAATTATCATAATAATACCTGGTGAACATGATAACAATGCTGATAGTAATACTAATAATATCGATTTGAAACTGAAATGAATCAATAGACAATCAGTGATCTCCTACAACGATTTGACTCTAACACTTTAGTTTATATGTTTTCATTTTATGATAAGTGTTTTTCGTGGTTGTTTCAGGCAGCGTCCTGACACCCGGCACCATTTCGTCCCCGTGGACACCAGTCACCGGCCCGCAAGCCGAATCGAACGGCCAGGGCCCGGACACCAAGAATCTCGATGTTGGTGACATTAGTGACGTAAGTATCCGCCACCTAGATACGACAAGAAAAATCCAAGAGTATATTCAGGCTATATTCCGAATTCAACTGGTCAGTACTGTCAGCAGATCCAATGACTCTGCTGAAAATATGTGTTCCGAAATATAAAATCAAAAATACAGTGCTTTAATTCGGAACACGTTTTCATGGTTTTAATCAGTAGTTAGCAGCAGTTGATCAGCTGGTGAAATTTTTCAGTATATAGTATCTCGTTTATCTGAACTAGATTATTTTGCCTCCTGCTTGACATACATTTTGGAAATATAATATTTAACATGAAAGAACAATCGGTTCTTGTAGCCTTCAAAGTTTCTTCGATTGTTGACGATGACGATTCAAGCTTGAGTGATGAAGAATTCTTGGACATTTATGTAATATGGCATCAAGGATGATGAATTCAGGAAACATTTCAGGTTTATTTAGATATTCATTCCAATGCTGCTTCTTCTCTTCTACTTCATACTCTATATAATCTCTATATTATATTCTCAGCGTTTATTATTTCGAAAACGGGTATATAATATATATAACAACGGAAATAAATGTTACATTCCTTCCCCCTCTGAAATAATGACAGTTTACTGAAGCCACACTACCTTTTGATACTCAGCAATTTCAGCAGAATGTTGAATCGAAATATTTGGAATGAATATTATATCTGCTCACAAGCATCTGTCACATTCAGTGATTTTTTTGATTTCGGAATGAAGAATCAGTAGATTCAGTACTGTCAGTTGAATTCGGAATATAGCCTCAGTAGTAATGGGTTGCGTGCAAGAACTGTCAGATGACCGACGCTGGAGGCAAAACATTGAAACACAACGTCACTTTTCTTATTTGTTTACAAGTGATCGAAATAGTTTTCCACAATTATTTTGGCATATGAATCGTATTTTTCCGCTATTCATCAATTCGCTCATGCCATCACATTGTGCTGTTGAAAAATGCACAAAAACTGCAGCGGAAGATGAAGCAATCCGGATGGTACATTATGATTTAAAAGTAAGTACCTACTATATAGTCACTCACATATAGTTTTCATTTTTGAAATTTGGTTATTTCTCTGATTTCTCATCGGAATTCCTTCTGCAATAGGAGCTAATAGAAATATACCTGAAATTTCTAGAATAATGCAAGAAGATTGGATTCATGCAATCATTCGGGAGTACTGGTCTGACATGCAGACGATCGTGTGTGTTGTAGACATTTTCAATCTATTAGCAGTATTAGCTTGTATTGCAGAAGTGGCAGAAGGCAGAAGGAATTTTAATAAGGAATGACAACATTTCATAATGATAACCATGTGAGATTACTATTCACCTGAAAAATCATATTCTTTAGTCTCTTGCTGCATTTTTTGTGCATTGTACAACAGCACAATGCGAAGGCATGCTCGAATTAATGAATAGCGCAAAAAACACGATTCGTATGCCAAAATATTGTGAAAAGATATGTCTATCCTTTGATTCCTCTGTAACCAAATAAAAAAGTGAGGTTGTTTTTCAATAATACACAGAAGAATGAGGTTGTGTTTCAAAATTTTGCCTCCAGGGTCGGTCATCGTGCACGCGACCTATACTATATTCGGTTATACATCGATAACGTCAAAATTTGACGAAGCGTTGTGTTTAAGTATGTAACAATATGTTTCTATGGAAATGCACATAATTTTGAATTTCTGATTCGTGGAACTTGTCTATGTATATCCAGGTATATTCGAAATTATACAAGGTAGCTCAATTGAACAATTGAACGTTCTGATTGGTTAATAATCATACAAAGTAATCATTTCTATAAAAAATAAAAAAGTTTCAATAAACACTTCCGAAGAAGTATGTTTAGAGGTACCTCTACAGGGCTCATTGTACTATAGCAACTTACGAGCAAAAATCGAGAAATGATGTATGAAAGTTTTTATTTTGAATCATATAATTTGAAGATGATATTTCACTGGGGTGGCAAGACATTTTAGATAATATTAATATCATCAGTCTAGCCTGCTAGTAGTGAAGGAATTACGATTTCATTTTATACCGAAGGAAACGGACCTGAATATCGGGATGATTGAAGAAATTCTTCATCGTGTGTAATACTAATAAATTTCCTATTGATTAAAACAAGGTTGTTTTTCGTTTTCTTCGTAATTAATGAAAACAATACCTCTTTTTCATGATATTTGCAAGGAATCTATTTATCCTTGCATTATTTCACCATATTAATGCAACTTTCTGTATTTTATATTCAAATACTCAAATTATAATAACTTAATCATACTCGAATGACCGAAAGATCTTGGGGCCTGACCTGAATACAACTGATTTATTAAACTTTTTCGAAAGCTCTCTGGCTAGGAAAGCTCGACTTACAGTGAATCATCATGTTTGCTGAAATAACTTGGCATTTAATACATACTTATGAATCTTATGACAACTTTTAAGATCGTTAGAATGGGAGATTATTTTTTTAGGATGAAAAAGACCTGGCAGCTGCGGATGCGGAGGGAGTTTGGAGTCCGGATATCGAACAAAGTTTTCAAGAAGCTCTCGCGATCTACCCGCCCTGTGGAAGACGAAAAATCATCTTGTCAGATGAAGGAAAAATGTATGGTAAGTACTAGATGTAGATACAAGACGGAGCCCACTTTCTTGTCATATCTCCAGGCTCTTCACTGGAAGTATTTGCTACTTTTTCCATTTTCCCTTTTGATCATCCTGAAGTCAACGAAAAAAGACATGAATTGGTTCAATACCTTGTATATGTGTTTCTCAAATTTCAGATCATTTTTTATATTCTCTATTCTAAGAAAATGTGGTGGAAGCAGTGTTGGTCACTCTATTTGGAAAAGCACTTCCTGAGTGAACATAAAATACACCATCTGTGTCATTCCTGCTATGTATATATTCTTTGTTTATTCGCTATCAGAATTTACTTTTTGTATTTAGAACTAGGTAGGTACTAAATAAGTTTGAAGTTAATTCCAACTAGAAGATTGTCGAAATGCTCAAGTGAAATCAAATGTTAATAATGAAGCAAGAACTCAATAGCAGATAACGGGAGAAATATCGCTACTGCCCACGCAAAACATCGAATTTAATATTCTATTCAATTTGTATAAACGAATACTGATTGCAAATGTTTCTTTCCTGAACTGCCGAATAGCCGAATTCTTTTTAGTTTGTAGCCAGGTTAACTGTGGACACCTAGACAATAATTAGTATAGTTTATGCGAAGTCAGTTGAAAAACTTCCGTTTTTATGGACGATACGAGGATTTGTCTTGTCGATTTGTTCAACATTGGAATAGGAATGAATGATGTATTTTCTACTGAGCTTTCCCGGTATGCAGCCTGTGCAGTCAACGTGGACTGGACAAGCGTTGTCATGCTAGAAACCGCGTCTCATTGGTTACTCCGAACTATACTGGATGTTGATTTGTCAGAGTTGCATGGGCGGCATCCTGTGTGATGAGAATCTTCTAGCCTGCGCTAGGCAGTGCGGTACGAGCTAGGTGGTCTCCATTGGTTCAATTCGAAATTCAGAAAATTTATTATTTCAATCATAGTGGTTTTGTGTTCTGGAGGCCTTTTGAGAAAGTCAACGAAGTGAGTGATAGTGATTCGGAGGAAGAGCAAGCGGAGTTCGCCAATAAAGACTTACACGTTCAAACGCAAAGGGTAATTTTGAATATCTATTCGCATCTCAAGGATCAGAATAATGAACCGGAGATGTTGTAGATCATGAAGTTAAACAAAAAAGAGTGGGACAAAAACTCGAGAAGCTTGATGATGCTTCGAAAGAAGTAATTCGTCGAATTGTATATAGATTGTATAATGAGAATAAGGTGCCAACATTGCCAGATATCAGGGATAAGTTGAATGAATACGCGGATTATAATTACAAATTGTAAGTTGTGAAATGTTTTACTAGATTGCGGGTTCAGCCATGAAAAAATTAGACAAAAGGATGATGATTATGGAATCAAGACGCATCGTAGACCATCGGCAAGAATATCTACGTAAAATAAAGGAATACCGTGAAGCGATAGACCTATAATTTATCTAGATGAAACGTGGTTTGACACTCATGACGTTGTTCAATACGGTTGGGTAGATGAATTTTATTGAATACTGGCACCAGAGATCAGCCTCTTCGTGATTGTTGGGAATAGTTCCTTTCCAAAAATACAAAAGAAGATCTCTTGTTCAGTTTTCACTCTCATTTGAGTAGGTTGTTCAATACGATTAATACCTCCAGCGACCATATATCATCGTTCACAGAGATATTCTATTTCTAGAATAGGTATCATGCAACACTCCACATCAATGCTCGCTTCATATTGTCACATATTATCCCTATCTAGTCGCCTTTGTCCAATCCGTTGTCCTTCCGTTTCCTCTATGTGGGAAGAGTAATTGCTAGGCACCCAAGACAGACGACTGTCCTGTCGTGCAACGCACATAACAGAATTTGTCGAATTGGAAATGCAAGGCGCAGGCCGTAGAGATATTGACCGTGTGTCCAGCAAACTGTCCTGTTCTGTCCACTCTCCTATACTACACTCAGTCGGAGTCCGGCGAAGACTTTTCCAAAGAAGTCGGAATGCGAAGGAGAGAGTTATTCGGAAACTTACATGTGGGACGATGATTTGTGTGATTTAGTGGTCTAGAATAACCTTCATTGCAACACATTTTCTTGATTCACCACCCCTGTGATAGATATTAGTTGCGTTGTATTTATCCGATTCCGCCACCGGAATCACTTAATTGTGTAGTTTTATTTGCAACTTTCCGATTCCAGTTGCCACTTTTCATTCCGTCTTACTACAAGGAATTACATGGAATGAGTATTGACAGTTGTCAAAAAATGAAATTAGATTGACGAAAAGCGAAACTTTTTGAAAGTAGAAGTTCTTATCGTGATTCGTGAGGTTCACAAGTTTGTGAGTCTTTCAAGTAAGACAGGTTTCATATCCTCATTCCCAGATAAAATAAATTCTCTCGATCTCAAAGAACTTATTCTCCAATCATCACAATCACTGCTCCAAATATGCGGTGATTCATTTTCTTGATTTACAACTCTAGTATCATGATTTTGAAATTATTCGGAGCCCCAATATATAAATATAACATCTTTCATCTATAATATGTCTTTAATATGTCAAATCTCTCTGAAGTTTCTCGTTTTATTCGTAAACGTCATTCTGTTCCCACAACCGTTACCAGAATGGAACGAATAAAACACAACTAATATTCTTTCTTCGTTCTGAGCCAACTAAAATATTTCACTAGAACTAATCTGAATCAGTTATCATGCATTCTTTCGGATCACGATCATTTCTCCAACTTAACGTTTTGTGGTGAATCAAAGTGAACTCCTGTTCCACAAAGTTAACATGTCTGGCTCCTACAATTTCGTTCATGCATTTGATGTCATGGTCAGAATCAAGGGTTCATATTGAATCTGTTCCATGTCACATCCCATTCAAATTCGCTGAAAAGGTTCTCGAGTAATTGAAAGTTTTCGGATAATTTCAGCAATAAGTGTCCATCATACAAACTATAATGAAAAGAAAGTTTGAGCCATATGTATGAACTTATCCATATAATGTCGTATGAATCAGCTATAATAGCAGGTATGAGAAGTTCTTGGACATCATACTGAGTAATGATAAATTTGGCATGTAATAATAATACGTTGATTAACAGCTTTTTATATATCTATGGAGCAAAGATATATATTTCCTCCCGCGTGTGAAGATTGATGTTCGACTCATGGGAGAAAGTATATAAGATCATTATAGTTCAAAAAGAAAATTGTTATTTGTTTCATAGTAGTGATGGAGACACTGACTGGGATCTTATACGTGTATCTCTACCAAACAAGCAAGCTGAAGCCAATTTATATCACCTCCAATGGGAGGTAATAATGTTTTCCTCCCGTCACCAGTTATATTCAAGTTATCAAAAAGATGTAAGAGTCCTATCGTTAATATTTCTTAGACTCCATAACAAAATATCATGTATATGTGGAGACTTGGCATTATTGTGAAAAATGCTGAGAAGAGACAAAACCACGACCACAAGTCGTGCACACCGTGTTGTCACGTTCACCGCTTCAAATTTCCTCTAGTGTGTATTTATACAAATATATTATAACCAATAAGCCACAAATCATAAGGGAATATTTGGAGACAATCGATTTTGTATTGCTTAATATTATATTACCAATACATAATTGAGAATTTATGAATTATTGAATAACTAATATTTCTGAAGTTTCCAATCATATTTCATCACATGGCAACTGTGCCATGGTCTGCCCCTACTTACGAAATCGTGACGTCAGTTTTTTCTTACGATAAATTTCTATCCGTTATAAAATTACCCTGACATTATTGATGATTTTACTCGGAAAAAAGGAATTGTTGAATCAAGCAAAATTTAATTGAATGAAGCGAATAAAAGTGTCATATATGCACGACAAAATATAATCTTGAAATGACTAAATCTATATCTGGTTTCAGAGCGAATTTGAAGTTTGATTCAAGTAAATATGTCTTGCATTAACTCTGGATCCTCTTCAATCAAGCACATTCATGAATTGTTTTTGTAAAGATATTGAATTGGATCAAACAATCATTTTGTTTGATTCAAAATAACAACATATTGCCTCAATCAAATATTTGGTTGATTCAACGAAATATTATTTGGTTGATTCAACGAAATATTTGGTTGATTCAAAGAAATATTTGTTTGATTCAATGAAATATTTGGTTAATTCAATGATATATTTTGTTGATTCAAGAGGAATTATATATCCATTCGACAAATTGTTTTGGTGAACCAAATTCAGTATTCGGGAATTTTCTGAAATTTCACATGAATAGAATAAACAAAACTAGGAAACAAGTCGACTTCAAGCATAGATCTTCAGTCTTTACTTCTCCTCAGCTGATGGAAAACTATTTCGATTTTATCATCCTAAGTTCGATTCATCCAGCTGATATTTCAAACACGAATGTTTGTTGCGGGTTTACTAGCCCTGTATTTTCTCTTGACGATGCTAAAATAAACACTAGTGGACTGTATTTTTGTTTTATTCATTGATTCACTCCGGGAAACACTTCGACAATACAACAGCTTAAAATCATACACAAAAGTGTATCGTTAAATTAAAAATCTGACATCGATCTCAGTCTAAGTCTAATAGTATAATGATTAATGATGGCGTCTGGCCACTCGTTTCATCGCACATGCCAACCAGCGCAAGCGCTATTTATCACAAATAATTTCTGCATGACAGATGTTGCCAGCGTTGCCATAATTGGCGGTGAATTCAAAATTTCAGTACATACATAAACAACGAAGAATCAGGCTTCACGTATATAATGAATTCGAGGCAGGCATAGACGGCGCGAAATGATCGCCATCTAGAGGCGGAAATTTAAGTTTATGTAGAATGAACAAAATATTTCATTGATATTACATATTTCGTTCCTCTATTCAAGCGAATGATCCGTTCGAAACAAGTTCATTGCTACATCGGAATAAGAGAACTTGTATGTTGTTTCAAAGATATATTCCCATCAAATTGATCATTATTTGATC